TGGTTCAGTTCCTGGTAAGCAGGGAAGGTGACAGAGCATGTGGCACCTCCTTGGACATCTTGAAACTTAAGACCAATGTGACACTGACTCCCACAGTGACCTGCAGTAGTTCATCCTGACTGTTTTAGAAGTTTCTGCACTTGCATTCTGCTGTGACTGTTACCTGGGTACCAGTCTCATCACTCACATACATACATACATATGTGCATACATACATGTATACATGCGTGCATACATACATATAGGCACGCAGTGTCAACATGACTTTTTTTCTGAGCCTTCCTATCCCTCATTCTTTCTCCGCCTGTCCTCCATGAACACTCCAGTTCTTTTCTTAAAAGAGCTGTATTTTCCTTAAAACAGATCCCAGCTGTTTTTTGTTAAGGGTTATTGTTGTTATATATGAAAGACAATATTGCAACATCCTCACCCAAAATTCACATTACCAGGAGGTACAATTTCAAGTGTTCAGGCGATATTCACTGTGTGACTTTGAATCTAGCTTCTCCATCACTTTATAGAGACCCTAATAGTCTCTTCCCATCTCAGCAGAGACTCAGAAAAATATTTAGCCAAGTAGGCCTAGGAAGCTGCAATTTATTACATTGTATTATAATCCCTCCCAGCTCCACTTTACGTGGCAAGGCACTTTGAAAAGTTTCTGTGGGTAAAGTTGTTCAGGTGCAAAATTTCAGAATCATTTTTTCAAAGGATTTTTTAGCATATGTGATTATTCAGTTCATTAAAACTCACACATACTTGAAGCCAAATCATATTCACAAAGTGAATCTTCTGTTGATCTTAGCTACCAGATCTGTTTTTAAATTATTATAAGCAAAGTATAAGACACAATTCAAAGATATGTTTGTATTATATTTATTTTCTTCTAACCACAAATAAAAATATGTTTTACTTACCTCATTCTACTAGTGACAGTATGTCTGAAAAGATCTGTTTTAATATTGAATTGAGGACTTAGACAAAGATTTTAAAATTATATGTTAGGTATATATTCAAAGATAATTTAAGCATGACATACTTTTGAAAATAAATGGATAGCCTATAACCTGCCCTTTATTGAGGAATCTGCCACTGAAATGCTAGGAATCATTTTCCTGTTACTAAAGTGAGACCATCTTGAGATATTTGGCAGAAACAATTTCTGGGCAATTTATTAAAAAGTAATATATTTCCCTCACTAAAATGATAACTGTCTTCATGCTTTCATAGGGAAGAAAGCAAGACTGGTAAATTATCATAAATATTATAAAGTATATTACTTATAATACTTGTAAAGGAAATACAACCAAAGAAAAAATTAAATGTTTTAATAAATATGCAACCCTTTTGAGTTTTGAAATGTTGAAATCCAGTGTAATCTATGTAAAAAATTAGGGGATGTATTTCCATGGATTCATTTCAGATTCATGATGTGCCTTGGTTCAGATGACTTAGTTCTGAGAAAAATAAACTTTGTAGTAGGCAATTATAAAGAATAAAATGAAAGAAGAGACTATAGCTTGGGACAATAACAAGATTTCATATTATTTTAATTTTGGTTATCTGAACTGCCTCTCGTCCATTTTGTAATACAAAGTCTTCAGCTTGGCCGTGTACTGGAGCAGATGAATAGTTTTTCGGACTGGCAAATCAAGTAGACATAGGTGGCATGTCTTTTCTCCTTGTGTAATATACCTCCCATCATGGAATTTTTAATAACATTTTTAAATCCCAGAAACCATTGAACTATCTTGAATGCAATATATGTAGTATATACATCTATTGAAAATGTCTTTTGTGTTTGGACTTCTAACACACTACACAGTTTACTGATTTGTCCACCACTCACAAGAATGTTTGGCTTCAAATGAATTCTAAAGGTGCCTTTATGTGTGTAGAAAGTTGTCAAATGCTGAAGTGCTTAGCTCTGGATTTTGTATTCAGACTTTTTAAACATTAGTGTATCTGTAAGTATTTCTCAGTTGTTTTGTGAGAGTTAGGTTACTGTTTCAAAATAAGTACATAAGAGAAATTGTAGCCCTATATTTACCTATATGACACAGCCAGAAGGCAAAGTCAGAATGATGGGCCAAGGAAGAGATGTAGCTGGCCAACCCTGGCATCACTTTGAAATTTGCATTTATTGGGCCATTTTCCTAGAGCTTTGTTTTTAGTCTTTTTAAACTGTTCCATAGAAGTCAGCCAATGAATATCACAAAAGGGGACCATTCCAGGTATGGCTGTGCAGCTTACTACGTGCATGTCTTTGTGTTAAGTCTCAACCAATTTGAGTTACAATTTTTTTTATCTGAAAAATGCCAGTAATATTACCTACCTTGCAACATTGTTGTAACAGTTGATGATATTGTATATAAAATACACTTGCTATGATAGCATTCTTTTTACTTTTGTAAATGTTTGAAATTTTCATATCTTTTTTTCCCCAGAACTTTTTCTTTCCCCCAGAGCTTTTAATGCTGTCATCTTCCCTCTCTCTCTACTACCACTATTTAGCTTAGGTCCTCATCTCTTCTGTTCTCTAAACTGGTCTCCCTGTTTCCACTTTTACCCCTTTAAAGCCCTCAATCTTGTATAGACCTGTCACAGGGTCTCAAGAGTCCTTCTTAGTGAAGTATCAGTTTTCTGAGTCTTTGCAATTTCCTGACTGCATAGGAAAGCAAAAATCATTATGATTTAAAAGTTGTTACTACTACTGCTAATTATTATTATAGAAATGTTTATTGAACATTTACTGTGTGGTAAGCACATTTTTTAGCACTTAACATTATCAATTTATTGAATCCCAAAACATAACTATATGTATGTGCTATTATCTCCATTTTACAGATGAAGAGGCCAAGGGAAAGTGAAGTTTGATAACTTGCACAATTTCATACACCTAGTATGTGGCAGAGCTGAAATTCCAACCCAAACTTCCATCAGAGAGTAAAATCCAAGTTCTTGTATATGTCATACAAGGGCTCCATGATCTGCTGCCTGGCTCATTACCACCCATGATTCTGAATTTCCTGCCTTACATGGCATTCTCTAGAATCACTGAGCTTCTCATTGCAGCTCTATCTGTTTCTTTCTCATCTAGGCAGCTGCTCTTCCTCCTTGGCTTCATCCCTCTCTGCTGGCTCCCTTGGGCTCAATGGCCTCCTTACCACTTCAGTGCACCAGGCCTGTTCCCACCCTGGGCCATTGTTCTAGGAAAGAGCCTTTCTGGGCTTGACCTCAGAAGACCTTTTTTTTTTTTGAGAGTCAGTGTAAGTTATGTAAATTATTTATTGATGACAGAAGAACACTATCTTAGTCCAGTTTTTGTTACTATGACAGAATAGCACAGACAGGGCAATTTATATAGAAAAGAAGTTGATATCTTACAGTTCTAGAGGCTGGGCAGTCCAAGGGCATGGCATCACCATCTGATTAGGGTATTTGGGATGCATCATCCCAAACGATGGAAAAATGGAAGGTCAAGTGAGCACATGCAAAAGAGAAAGCATGAGGGGCTGGGCTCACTTTATAACAACCCACTCTTACGGTAACTAACCCACTCCCACCATAACAGCACTAATTCATTCATGAGTGTGGAGCCTTCATGACCTAATTACTTCTCACAGGCCCCCACCTCTTAATACTGTTACAATGGTAATTAGACATCAACATGGGAAAATACATTCTTCGATTGACATCCTACCTCTACCACTTATTAGCTTTTAGACCTTATGCCCTCTCTGAACCTCAGTTGCCTCCTCTATAAAATGATCATAAAACCCAATGTCCTGCCTTCTTAGAGTTCTAGAGTTCTATGAATAATCTCTACAAAGAGCAGGTGCCTCTTGAAAAGCATGATTCTGGAACTAAGGGGGTGTAAAATAACATATGCTTCCTTTACATTGTTTTTTCCTTCTTCTGCTTTTATTTCCCACATTTTTATTTTCAAGATCTCCACATGGTTTGATCACCACCACAGCACCTATTCTAGCTATTGGTAACAATTTATTCAGTAACATCATCCATATGCTCCCTGTGCCCCAGCATGTTTCATGGGTGTTGTTTGGGGCCACTCAGGTCATTTTCAGATTGTTCATGAGTGAGCAAAATGTTTATTTGCATTATTCTCAGTTAGGGCCATGTCCAGGGAGCTGTCTGTGTTGAATAACAGCATTCACTTTTGATTTAAGAATTTTATCTAGCTAGATCAAGAAATAGCTGATGGTGACTCTGGAAATCCTTGTCTCAAGTTATTCATGCTAAGAAATACCACAAAAGAACCCTGGGCCCCAGTTTCTCACTTTCCTCTAACTGGAATATTGCACAAATTTCCTTGCCCTTCCCTGTCCCTCCAAGACACGTCATGCTGACACCTTGCTCCCATAACCCAGGCACGGTGTAGCTGGGGTTGCTGCAGCAACAGCACACACAGAGTAACATTCCCCAGTAACTACAGTGGCTGGGATGTGAGTCAGTTGAAAATTGTGCTGGGTTTTTATTAGTGTATGATGCAGTCCCATGTCATCTACAGTTCCTAGCCTGTCCAAGACTTACACGGGATGATGCGGAACACTCCATGCCAATCACCTTCAAATGTTAGATGGTCAAGGGTTCTCTCACTGAAGTCACTGCAGTTGCTGGTTCCTTCCACAGCACCCCTTACTAATATCTACAGTAAGAAGCCAAAAGTAAAACTCAGGCCACACTGCTGGAACACCATTTCTACTATTGCATATCCTGTGTACCTAAAAAGCAACAGTGAACCCTGGTTGATGATCAAGAAGCCCCTCTTTTTGCCCAGGGAGTTGGACGATGGTTAACATCCCAGAAGACATATTTTTAACCCAGTTGCTGGGAAGAACATGTGCTGAAGATTAAGGATGGAATCACTGTAATTCTCTATGGGAACTCATGAAAGTGGAACTTGCCGTTTAATACTGATTGACACTGAGCACAGAGTTATTGGTGGTTTCTAATGTGGGATTTGGTTTATTTTTCAGACACGGAGATGACTTGATTGTGACTCCATTTGCTCAGGTAAGCACAGCTTTGTGAATGGGCAGGTTTCTCACAGATGTAAAAATTTAATTTGGGGGATTAGTTCAGGTTATTAATTTAATTTAATTTTAAATCAAGCACAACTATAAATACAAATTCTTGGTTCATTCAAGCAATTCAAAAGCACTGCTAGAGAAAGTGGCTTTGGCTATATTAATCTGTTTCTTATAAACCCATAGAACCAGACTGTCTTTGCTTCAAATAACAAATTAGCTAAAGGGAATACTTAATTGGGCCCATAGTTCCTTAACTGACATAAGCACTAGAAGCAGAAAGCTATATCATGGCTTAAGTTAGGTTTAGTATAATTAGGTATATGATCAGTGCTTGAAATTCAATATTCCAATTCAACCTAATACCTTATTTATCTCTTTTTTACTTATATCATTTGTACAGAGATTTAGCTGAGTGATGTGTCGATGTTTACTTCTTCCTTCTAGGCATACAAATCATGAAAATACTTTAACCACATGACATATATGCAAGCAGGTGATAACATGATCTAAAATGTTTTGGAATATATATATGAAAGAGTTGATGACCAGATCTTCTATGTATAGACCAGTACTTCTCAGCCCTACCTGCATGTTAGATTAACCTAGAGACCTCTTATCCCAATGCTCAGGCTGCAGCCCTGGTCAATTAAATCCAAAAATTTGGAGATCTGATCCAAACATCTGTATTTGGTAAAGGCCTCAGTATTTTTCCAGTGTGCAGGAGAAGTTGAGAGTCCCTGGTATAGACAACTAAGGGCAGAATAAGATAAAACTGATATAACTGGGGCATGAAGCAGGTTTAAAACCAACACTGACGAGTAAGAAATGTTAAATACTGAAATGCAAGTAATACTGAGAGGTTGTAAAAATTATAATCAGTCCTATATCATACATCAGGGTGCTCTTGCACCTTGGACAACTCACTTAAATTTTCTGAGTCCTCTTTGTTTTCAACTGGTAAAGTTAGGGGACTGAGCTGGATGAAAGGCAGTCAGATCTAGTTAAAACCCTTTCACCTCTTCTTGCCAACTAAATGGACTTGAGCAAGTCACTGAACCTTTCCAAGCCTGATCTCTTCCTCTGTTAAATAACAGTTCCAAGAGTACCCACCTCATAAGGTTGCTAAGACACTGAAATAATACCATGCTTGTAAAATGCTAGGCACAATTGCTCAAAAATATCATATAAAAACTTTGTCATTGGTTTAAATGTATAGAGCCGAAAATGTTCTTTCTTTTCTAAAATGTCACAAGTATTATTTTTTAAATGGATTACAGGGTTTAGATAGTAGGATTATGTATAGTTTTACTTTTTAAAACTTTCCAAACTTTCATTACTGTAAGTTAGACCTACAATATAATCAATTCATAAGTAACATAATGTATAATAGTTACTTTTTAAATTAATGCAGGCAATTAAAAATAAAATACAACCACCATCTTTTTCAGATGGTTAACATCTTGTTTGCTGAAGGTTTTGCTGGAGATCATGAATTCTTTCTAGTATCTGTATTTCTGTGTTCAAAAATTTTACACTTGTATGATTTAATAATATTATGTGATACCAAAGTGTTATAAAGTTAGGGGTTTTTAATTGATTACTATTGAAAACATGGCTGGGTGTGGTGGCTCACACCTGTAATCCCAGCACTTTGGGAGGCTGAGGTGGGTGGATCACCTGAGGTCGGGAGTTCAAGATCAGCCTGGCCAACATAATGAAACCCTGTCTCTACTAAAAATACAAAAAATTAGCTGGGCGTAGTGATGGGTGCCTGTAATCCCAGCTACTTGGGAGGCTGAGGCGGGAGGATTGCTTGAACCTGGGAGGTAGAGGTTGCAGTAAGCCACAATCATTCCATTGCACTCTAGCCTGAGTAACAGAGCAAGACTCTGTCAAGAAAGAAAAAAAAAAGAAAGAAAACTTACAATTCTGTATCTAAGACCTGAGAGAGAGGTGAACAGACAAAATATGACATAGCAATGTAAGTAACATCACCAAACAGAACCAATCATTCCAGTTTGAGTTCATTCAAGTAGCTATTTTTGTTTCTAACCAAATTATCTAGGTATTATTATAAGAAAAAATATATAAATAGTTAATAAAAAATGAAAAAAGATCTGTGTATGGCATATGTTCTTTTATATCAAGTAGTATTTATTAATCTGCAACAAATAGATTAATAAATTGGACTTGAACCCTATCATCAGTGCTCTTAAATTCCAAGGAAATCTAGTCTTTTACCTAATTAGACATTTTCTGTAGTGTACCTATAATCTCCAAGAAAAAAAAAACAGATTTAATTTCAAGATATTGGGAAATACACACACACACACAAAATTTAGTTTATATATATATATTATTTATATAATTACATATATATTATATATAATTATATATAATATATGAATATATATAATTATATATATATAATTTAGTCCATATTAGTAAGCTATTTAAATAAAAAAGATGTGTACTTAGTATACTTGAAAATAGAACTTGGAATATAAATCAACTCTGTATAATTTATAGGCATATCTGATGCCCAAAAATAATCCCATAATATATTAAGACTTTGCTTATGATTAGCTAAGTGACTCACAATACCTTGTAGAGAGTGGTCATTACTCAAGAGGCTGCTGATTTTTTTTTTTTAAGTGGCTTCATCACGATTTTCACGATTTTCACAAATTATGGGGAGGTGGGTAAGAGAGAAGTCCCAGTGAGTACGTTTAAGTGGCCTTCTCTTAAACCCTGTTGGACGTGATTGGCATATTTTGCTGACCCAATAACTAACTCCTCAAATTTTCTTTAATACAAAGTAGAACACTTACCACTTAACGGTAAGCGCTATTTTAGCATTAACTATTTAAAACTAAAAACATGAGATATTATATCACTTGAAGTGATACCAATCTAATTTGTCCTGATATATCATAATTGCTTTCACCAAAGGACAGCAAACAACTGATTTTAGAAAAGTCACTCAGAAAAATATTTATGCAAGTAGGCCAAAGAATTATCCACTTTTCCTAGCATGCTTTGAAGATTGGAATTTTACACTAAACCCTAATGAAAAAGCTATGCTTCTCAAAAAAAAAAAAAAAAGAAAAGAAATAAAACCTTTTTGCATAAAAAGTTTAGAAAAATAATAAGAAAAAGAAAAGGAAAATTTTCTAAAATTCCAAACCCCAAAATAACTGCTGCTGACATTTTCCTTCATACCCTTTAGATTTATTTTTCTGTGCATATTTTCTTTCCTATGGCTCCTAAAAATGGCCCTCCCCTGTTGAAAGTGTTCGAAGATCCTCTCTCAAATCCATCTCATCTTCTGCCTCTTCTTGAGAACTCATTTCTTTATGCCTGAGTCCATCTCCAAAACACAAAAGGATCTCTCCCTGGTCTTTCCAAATCATGGTTTCCTTTGACCGTGAGAAGAATAAAATCCTAAAATAGAGGAGAATTCAGGAAGCCATGCAAAGATATATTGAACATTTTTGACCAGGCTAAAGCCTGAAACATCTTGGATAGATGTAATTTTCAGAAAGGATCCTATAGTATCTCTCCACAGTCTATCCCATTGTCTAAAACACTGTCAGGGCTAGAAATTCTTGCTGGTGTTTAACCTAAACTCTTTTCCATCTCTGATTTCTTATGCTTTCCCTTATAAGCTCAGAATCCCTTTGGTCCTCAGAGAAAGTGACAGCTTTAAATTTTTTTTATTTCAATTGTTAAAGTATTCTCTTGTGTTTGTTTTGAAATCTTTTGGTGTGGGTGTTTCCTTAGGCACGAAGGCTAGAGAGGAATCCCACTGGAGTGCACTCAGCAACTGACCGTTTTTTCTTGGCCAGAGTTATTGGGGGCCAAGGAGCACTAAGGAGGCACAATGCTGATAAACTGTAGGAAACCCTTCTCTGCAGTCAGCTGCCTCCGGACTCAGTGATCCCAGGATTTGTGACACAACTACCCTGTAGTAAAACTCTAAGTTGACTAGAATTCTCATGTGGAAGTGTGTAATGTTAAATGAAGTAGACTCTGATGAAAGAGAAAACAGGGAAACCCAAGCATTATGCTGGATCCCTGGAGAAACCCTCACATCTTTCAGACTAAGGAGATATTCCTGATTTGAAAATACAGAGGCAGGAGAATAACTTGAACCCGGGAGGCAGAGGTTGCGGTGAGCCGAGATCGCGCCATTGCACTCCATCCTGGGGCACAAGAGCAAAACTCCGTCTCAAAAAAAAATAAAAATAAAAAAATACAGGGTAGGAACAACAACTACATCTTTTTACCTTTACTCTAACCAAAGTACAGCACCTGGGAGACTTCTAGGATAAAAAATGCAGTAGTTATTAATACTATAGAATATTACCATTTAGTTGGTAATAAAATATAACCGATATTCTCATATCCCTGCCTGTCCCTCAGCCACTTCACCCAGCAGCAACAATCTTGTGGCCTCATCACCATCCCCAAGCTTGCAGACTGTGCTAGGCCCTCCCTGCCAGGCTGTGAAAGAAGATAGTCACCTCGTTTCATTTGGTGCTAATTTTTTAGCTTTTCTTTAGCCTTAATTAGTTTAAATTACAGCTACTATCTTCTGGACATCTAAGTTCTTTTTACGATCGAACCGTATAAAATTGTCTATCAACCATTTCTGGTGTACAAACCAGCAATTTCATACGGCTTAAACAAAACGTAACTTGGAAAGAGATTTTCTTTTCATAAAAATGACCTTTCTATTTTGTAAATAAGCATAATTTGACTCCAGCTTTTTCCGGAGGTAAAACCGAAGTGATGAATCTCTTCCAGCGCGGGTTGCCGCTGTCTCCACCGCGGGTTGCCGCTGTCTCCACCGCCAGTGGCACCTCCACCTCATGGTCTGTGTTTTACCGCCATCTAGTGTTAGCAAGTGTATATGGTTACGAAAAACAATCCTCAAAACCATTTATTTTCCTCTTTTTCTTAGGCTATAATGTTCAGCTGTTTAAGTGTTAAATGATAACTGCATTTTCCTGCTATTTTCAGTGATTCCTACTGTTTAATAAATGTTTAGAAGCACCTAAGGAGATCCGAGAGTAGTGTATGTAAATAACATTGAATTCTTCCCCATGGGCCAATACATGGGCTAATAATCTTTGTCTAAAATTTTTCTGTAAAACTACCAGTATTTCTTTCCTAAGGAATATATATTTCTCATGATTCCCAATGTATTTTTGACATTTACTGGCTATACTTTTGCTTGGTGGGGCAGAAGAGAAAGAAATGACCTTAATTTTCTAACCAATGAGCTCTGTGGAAGAAACCTCAGGGACCTTTTTGGTTAGCAAGCATTAAGAAGTAAGGACAATTGTAAAAGGAGCATTAAAGCTTTTACTACAGTTCTTAAAGAGTCGAATTCAGGGGAAGTGAGGGCTGCCCTGAACAAAGCAAAGATCAATGAAATTTTAATTTAGGGGCTTCAGTAAAACGGTTTATAGTTCTCCCCACAGCCTACAGTAACAGATGCTCCCTCTTTGTGCCCTGCAATGAAAGTGAAAGCTTAAAAGACTAACACAGTGATAACAGTGATGACGACACCAAGAGTCAATCAGCGAGGCCCAAGACAACACCCCCTTATAAGATTTGTCTAGAAATGTTATTTACACTTCTGCCAATAAATAGCATACATGTCATACTGTAGAAGATAATAGTTAACACCAAACGTAAAATTTATAAAATACTGTTTGTCCTACTGCAAAAAAAAATTAAAAATAATAAATAAATCCACACACACAATAAATAATCTAATACTGGCATGCATAGGAAATAACTTCTCTACCAGGTTATTTATTGCAACGGTGTTTGTCAAAAATCAACTTTAAGACAGAAAACCTAAAAGCTGATTGCTAGTGGCCAGGCAACTGAATGTCTGAAGGAGAGACTGGTAGACAGATTTCTTTTTTCACTTTTTATTTTGAAGTATTTCATATATATAAGAGAATATAGCTGGTAATTATGTAAAATATAAAGAATAATACTAAAATGAACAGTTTAGGAAATAGAACAGTATCAGTATTTTAATGTCCCCTGAATGTCCCTCCCCAGGTTAATCTGTTTCTATTGCCTCTTTTCAGAAATAATAATAATTTTGATTTTTATCTCAATCATTGAAGGGGAGACTTTTTGCTTTGTACTCTTTTGTTTAAATTCTGAAGCATGTCAAGATATAAATTATACAAAAATAAATTTTAAACTAAAAACCAAGACAAAATAATATTAAATTAGATTATTTATTAAATTAGTATTATAACAGAGGCAAAAACTCCTCTACAGAAATTTTTCTTTTCGTGACTGATGTTTCCTTTCAAATGGCCATAGAAAATAAGTTGCCTGCAGCTCTATGCCTATTTACCCAGCTGTCAACTGCAATGAACTTAACTATTATGTATGGGAATAAAACTCTCAGAATTCTGGAGTTAAACATTTTGCCTAGGAAAGGGATCAATTAGCTGGTGAAATGATTTTATCTTAAAGTCTTCATTAGTGTGTTTGATATTCACTTCTTAAAACATAAATTAAGCCTGCATGATTTAATGACAGTGGATCATTTATCCGATTTACTTCTGCATCATTCAATATTTCATGCCTAATGAAAGACATCGTGGTCTGATGTCAGCAGTTGGCTATTTGAATACTCCATCATAGGCAGCGTGACCTTTCAGAGCTGTGGGTTGTTTATATGAGATAATGAGCCAGGTTTTTCCAGTGACTGAGTTAATCACGGTTGGCTTCTTAGGAAGCAGCATTAACTCCTTTAGGGGAAAATGCTGTACGTCACTGCCCCAAAGTGTACACAGCTCTCCATTGACTTATACAAACGAACATCAATTTCATAATCAAAAACAACAACAACAAAACAGAGTCTGGGACATTTTTGTCTTTAAAAAAAAAAAAATTAGACTGATTTTAGTCTAGGTCCGTGCCAGATGAAAAATTTCTGAAAACAACTCTGGAACCCTTAGAGCAATTAAAAAATTGGACTCTTGAATTACCAATGCTAAGCATTAAGTAAATTTCCCATGTGCATGCCAAGTCATTAAGTCAAAAGTAACGCTGCCATCATGGGCTAATATTGGCTGAATGCTTTCTATTTGCCAGGCACTGTTCTTGGCACCAAACCTGTCATTCCATATACTCCTCACAATTCTACGAGGTAGGTATCACCATCCCAGTTTTCCAGGTTAGGAAGCTGAGGTCCAAAGAGGTTGCATATCTAGTCCAAGTTCACACATTTACTACATAACAGAGCCAGACAGTCTGGGTTGTTACATAATACCTACTCAGACATTTGGAATCTGTGTTTTACATAAACTTAGCACTCTAGCTGTCACCCAAATCACCTATAATCCCATCTAATATGGGTTTGACCCTGGGGAAACTTGCCTATTTCAGGAAAAAGAGAGGAGGGAAGAAGGAGAAAAGGCTCTTGGAACCTTCTCCTAGGCTCACTTCCAGTCCGTTGGCTACTTTTTAGTTCCACATGGAATTAGAAAAAGTGACTGTTAGAGATAGTGATGCCTATTGGTCCTGCCTTGTCATGTGTGTGGGCATGTTGTGTCTATGTATTCATTTAGTCAACCAATTTTTATTGAGTATCTTCTGTGTGCCAAGCATTGTGCATGTACAGGGCAGTAGCATTTTACATAGGAAATGCATCCCTGAGAGTTTCTTACAATGCACAATTCAGATAACCTTAACAAAATAAAGCAATGTCTGCTTACTAGCTAGAGTAGCCATGTAGCAAAGGTAGAAAAACAGTTTAAAATTCACTTCACTTGACAACTTAAAATTATGGGATTCTTAATCAATTTTTGAAGAGATCTGGGAGTAGGGAACTTTTTTATCCCTAAAGTGAGATTTATTAGCATTTTATATTATACTATTTGAAATGTGCATAAAATGCAATCATGTTATCTGTATATCGCCTGGAATATTGTCTTGGTGACTAAGGAACCCAGAAATACTGTGGAAACTGCTGCTACTGTCACCATATTCACAGACAATAGGGAGAGATTTCTGGAAAATCCCTGCAGTCTGGCCTCTCTGGATTTCCTGTGGATACCTACAAACTTCACTAAGTGTTGGGAGATTCTTTAGTGGTATATGAAACAAAGTTTCAAGCAATATCAAGTTTTCTCTTAACAAACCATTTTCAAGTGTATTTAAAATGGCCTTAGTTCAAGAAGTTTCAAGAATCCTTTCTTGTTGTAGGTCTTGGCCAGTCTGCGAACTGTACGAAACAACTTTGCTGCATTAACTAATTTGCAAGATCGAGCACCTAGCAAGTAAGATATCCTTTTTTCCCCTCTTTTTGCTGAACTTTTATATAAGTTTTCTCAACTTGATTGAACCCAAGGCAATATGTTAGACTTCTCTGTGTTGTTGCCACGTTGTCTAACCGTGTATACTAAGTCATATGATGTCCTGTTAATTTTCTATAAATACTTTGTGGTGATGGTTCTAATATCAGAAATGAAGCAGTATGACAAATAAATATGGTGATTCCATCTGTCAGAAATCATCTGGCATGATCAGTCCTCTGCCCAGTTATTTACACTCAGGGTAACTTTATAGTTTTGGCTTACTTCATAAATTAACCGTGGGTGAATAATCTCATCACACCTTAAGATCAGCTGAAAGTCATCCTCTCAGGACAACGATGATTTGGAGAAGTGACATCTCATAGCAAAGACCTTTGATTCTCCTGCTGTTACTGACTTTCAGATCAGCAGCATTCATGGAGCAATTAATAGAATTGTGGTTTATATGACAACAGGGAAAGCATTTGAAAGATGGGAAATGATTATCATTTCAGGTTCTTGATAAAGGCAAAAAAATCTAAAAAGATAAAAGTAATTTTTCAATATTAAATGGAAAACTGGTTTGCTGTTATTTCAATGTCCTTTTTTTTAAAAAAAATCTGTTATTAATAAGAAATAAGATATTAAAATACAAACTTCAAATAATTTTCCAGAAGGAATAAAAACATTTAAATCAATATTAAGAGGATAGTGAATATAAGTATATTATAACTTTTTTTTTTTTTTTTAAATGGAGTCTTGCCCTGTCGCCCAGGCTGGAGTGCACTGGCGTGATCTTGGCTCACTGCAAGCTCCACCTCCTGAGTTCACGCCATTCTTCTGCCTCAGCCTCCTGAGTGCCTGGGACTATAGGTACCCACCACCACACCAGGCTCATTTTTTTGTATTTTTAGTAGAGACCAGGTTTCACCCTGTTAGCCAGGATGGTCTCGATCTCCTGACCTTGTGATCCGCCCGCCTCGGCCTCCTAAAGTGCTGGGATTACAGGCATGAGCCACCGCGCCCGGATGGAACTACAACGTATCTAAGTGTATAACATTTCATAGTAGTTAGTACTTCTTAAAAACAATGAAAAATCTGAACTTTCCATTTCATAATAATAAAATTGACCTCCCAAATTCACAGTTTTTATTATCAAAAATAGCTCTGGTCATTATTCAAGTACTTCTTGTGATAGAAAAAAAAGTTTTAAAAAATCAATATAAATGTAACAATGCAAGTTATTGGAATGGAACCCATTAGATTCTGTTTTTCCAGATAATGAATTTTCACAGTCCTATTCTCTCAGCCCGAACACTTCTCATCTTCTTCTTCCTCTCTTCATCTACTGAGCTAATTGTCATTCATTCTTTGGATTGCAGCTTAAATAAAATTCCTTTTGGAGCACTGCCCCTGGCAATACCCAACATAGACACACTCACAAGCCCTAATCAAAGTGACGTGCCTTTCCATCTCTGTCTGGTTGTACCTTGTACCTGATTCCTGTGTTAGCACGTATCTCTCTGTGCTCCTGTTGCCTGTTTGTCTACTGGGATGCTCCTGAACACTGTCAGTTCCCAGTGAGTAGGAATGTAGTTGGTTCACATTTGTATTCCATGTGCCTAGTATAATACAGAGTCTTATCAGTCTGCAAAGGCCTGTTCACTGAAAGGGTAAAGTAGTAACTCAGCATGTAAAATCTGAGGGCATGCTTTGAGGTACCCCTTCATTACCAATCACATTTTCCATGTAACATGGCCGCACAATATCACACTGACCTCAGCGGCCCCCTTGGGCTTTGGGGATTTGGTAGCTTATAAGATCAGTCACCCCCCCCTTAGAAAGTCTCAGCTCTGCGGAAGAAATGAAGTTACTGGTTGTCACTCGCAAACTTTTTAGTCTTGAATTTTACCCGGGAAACTGGGATTTTTGTCTTTAAAAGGTGAACAAGAAACTCCGTTTATGCTTCCTTTATATATAGTCACCTGGATACCAGCATTTAAATCTGTGGCAGGCAGGCAAATAGTTGATCAGTCAGGCTCCAGAGATGATCTGAGGCCTGTTTCTCTGCAAGACAGAAGTTTTCAGCTGACATACAGGGACAGAACAGATTGAAATGGCAAGGAGGAGCTAGAAGAAAACAGAAAATCATAGCTTAAGCCTGAACTTCCTCTCTGCCTTGACAATGCCCAGGGTGACATCTAACCAAACAGTGTTATCTGGCAGACTCTAAGTAAAGGCCACTGTGGTCTTCCTTTTGGTCAATGCAAATTTGTGCCTCCATTGCTGATTCAAACCAAATCGGCTTCTTTGGGTATCAGAATAGTAGGATTCAATCTATACACGGCTAAACTCAACTCTGTTCAGCGAGAACAAAGTGCTGTAACTCTGCCTCATCACATGATGACCCTGGAGGAACCAGAACTTTCTCGCTAGGCACTCACAGAGCCGCTAGAACATATCCAAGCTCATCCTTGGATTTTGTGGAAGGCATGTGCTGCTTTGCACAAGCCACTTTTTTTTTTTTTTTTTTTTTTTTTTTTTTTTTTTTTTTTTTTTTTTTTTTTGAGACGGAGTCTCTTCACTCTGTCGCCCAGGCTGGAGTGCAGTGGCATGATCTTGGCTCATTGCAAGCTCTGCCTCCCGGGTTCACACCATTCTCCTGCCTCAGCCTCCAGAGTAACTGGGACCACAGGCGCCCACAACCACGCCTGGCTAATTTTTTGTATTTTTAGTAGCGACGGGGTTTCACCGTGTTAGCCAGGATGGTCTCGATCTCCTGACCTTGTGATTCGCCCACCTCGGCCTCCCAAAGTGCTAAGATTACAGGCATGAGCCACTGCACCTGGCCCACACATTGCTGACTTGTTAACACACTACTGGTTCCTGTCACCTTGGGTTTTTTGCTTTTGTTTTGCCTTTGTGATTTTTTTATTCCACAAGTGAGTTCTGGCTCATTTGTCATTAAAGGAGGTATCGATGCAACCCTGGATCAAAGGATTAATATTTTCTGCTTGCCATTACCTGTTCAGATATCAAGTTCCTGAGTGCCAGTTAATTGTAGGATTGATAGTAAAAGGAGATAATCAGTAACAAGTCAACCATTTGGTTTTCCAAAACTGTAGAGTAGTGTAAAAATATTAATTTCATACCATTCCCAGACAAAATCAATGGTTTCTAAATTTTCACAGAGCAAGAACTAAAAAGGAATAATCAGGATATCGATTATTTGAATGATAAACTCTTAGCAAGAAGGTAACAGGTAACACTCTGTTCTGCACAGCAACACCCCATCTCTTAAAAAAATAAAGTTTTATTAGCCAAGCATGGTGACATGCACCTGTAGTCCCAGCTACTTGAGAGGCTGAGGTGGTAGGGGGAATCACTAGAGCTCAGGAGTTCAAGGCTGCGATGAGCTATGATCACACCACTGCACTCCAGCCTGGGCAACAGCCTGGGCAACCCTGTCTCAAAAAAAATTTTTTTTAATTTTAAAAAGAAGAAGATAATTACTGGTATATAGACCAGAGCTATTTCAGAGCAGTTGCTTAAAATATTAACCTTTTAGTTTATCGAGTTTAAATTCTCCCCATTTTTCCCCTAACCATTTTATTTTATAATTAAAAAAACTAAAAGAATTCAGAAGTAAAATTTGGTGCATTTTCAATCAAACACAAAATTTTAATCACAAACTGATACCAATAAACTTAAGAGCAATGAAAGGGAGCCAGAGGCTGAGTGGAACTAGTGAGAATTTACAAAATCCCAGGCTGCTTTCCCCAAGTTTCCCGCACCCTGCTAAGAGATTCATCATCTCAGCAAGGCATATTTGAAGAGCCTGATGCTATCGGCACATATGTGAGGCTGTGCATACAGGTTCCACAAAAACATCTAAAACTAAGGCAACAAAGCAGAGCATAGGCCCTAGGATCACATTCATTTAGTTCAAATCTCAGCTTTGTTACTTAAAACTAGTTCTTCAAATTCTCAAAGTTTTGGTTTTGTCATTGGTAAAATGAGAACAATGAAACTTACTTCCTTAAGGCTTATCATGAGGATTAAATGAGATAATTCATTTAAAGTGCTTATTTTGCAATGTCTGATCCACAGGAAGTGTTTATTAAGTGTTAGCCATTGGTAGAGGCAATATATATATATAATTATTATATACCTTATATATGTATCAGACATCTTTGAATGTATCTAAAAGTTTTTTAAATCATTATATTTTAAAAGCTGTCAATTACAAGTAATAACTTTATAAAGTTATATTTCAAAAATGTTGATGGATACTTTATAAATGATATTCTTTTCAACATAATTTATTAAGCACTGACTGAATACTGGATGCATTGTACTAGGCTGTGTAGGGAATATAAGTTAATCAGACAACATGCTTTTTTTTTAACTTCAAGGGGTTTATGGTAATTTTGTGGAACTTGGCAAACATCTGAAAACTTAGAGAATACAAGATAGAATTTATTTAAGTACCTTTGGCTTAGAGTATTTCTAAAGCCTCTACTATATCTATTTGGACAAGCCATTAATATACCTCTCTAACAAAGATATCAGAAATATAAGAATATAAGAAAGGAAATATAAGGAAACAGGAAAAAGTTCAAATAGCTTCTCTAATTATAAGATAGTTTACAATAAATCATTCACTTCTAATAATGTACAGGCAATCATGAGAATATATGCCAACAATAAAAATTTCTTAACCCTGCATTAGGGAAAGCAATTATACATTGACTGCTTTTTCAAATTCAGAGTCTGTACGCCCTGGCTTCAGTCAATAATATCAGTAAGAATTTCCTCTTCTCTCATGTCCCAGTGACACTTACATCAGCTTTATTTACCCCAAGTCAATCACTGTGAGATTTTACTGTTTTCTTTTTGGACATGTGTGATCTGAGCCATAATACAAAGAACGCCTAGGGACTTGTCTGGCTAGTCTGAAAGAAATCATTTGCATGTCCAAACTTAAAAATAATTCTTTAAAGTAAAAGGCTGTATCTGAAATGACTCAGAGAGTGATCAAATCAACAAGCCCCACATATTTACTGCTTTGTATTTTTCTGTCTTTGTCAGAAGATCACCCATGTGCAACCAACCATCCATCAACAAAGCCACCATAACAGGTAAGAAAGATCTGGAGCTTATTCTTCATGTGTCTAGGAAGAAACCATTTCTGCCAAAAGTCAATATAACACCAACACCAATTTCATGCTGCAATTTGAAAATGTTAAAGAAATAAATTCTTTCTTCTCTACATTATCATTTCTATCATTGATCTCACAAATTGTCTAAGCTGTTATTTGGAAAATTTTTACTGGTTTACATTTTTTTTACCGATGTACATTATTTTTAACCATTTAACTATGTGCTTATACTCATTTGAGCATTGCTCTGGGCATTTGTATTTTGAGAGATGGTGTTACTTTCAAGTCGCTTCCCATTCTGGTTCCACACATGTGTTATTAGCATGATATAATATGTCATCATTTAGTTTAATAAGAGTGAAGGCATAAATAAAAGGAGTAACATGTTGGTTCGTCAATATCTCACTTGTGTGTAGGAAGGAACATTGTTTCAGTAGTCCAATAAAGAACTGAGAGAGCTGAGAAGAAACTCAGTTTGGGAGGGGAGAGAAGTTAATATACAATACAGAAAAAAGTTCAATGAGATCAAAACACAGGGATCTATAAATGTTTGGGAAAGAAAAATAAGAGGAAAGATGAGAGAAGTCAAGTGCATAAAAATAAAATTATCTCAATTCCTATTAGTCTGTTTTAGGCACAGAACTTGACCCCAACTGAACCAAAAACAGAATGCATGATCTCATTTTGCTGAACCTGAAACCAAATTGAACTCTTTTGACTATTTCTTGAAACCCCAGTTGATTCATTAAAATAATGGCCTGGAAAAGAAAACCTATGTTTTCTAAAATTGTTACCAGAAGAAAATTAGCATATTCTCAAAACTAAAACATTCTTCATTGGATTCAAGTGTCTTCCTTTAGCTCCAACCTATAATGTGCTAAGGAGCTCTTATTAAGTTATTAGTGAGTACACTTTGGTTGGAATTTAACTTTATCTTGTCCAGATGTCTGTTTCTGTTTGTGGACACCACATTAGAGTTGATTCTGGTATCATTGTTAATGTCATCTTTTCTGAAAGTCATCAAGTGGAACTTATATTTCAATGAATGTTAAATTATTGATTCTCTTCTTCATGTTTCTCTTTCAAAATATTATTGGTGATGACTTCCAGTTATCATTTTATAGTACATATATGGTTAACCAGTTTTGTTCTTGATATTGATCAAGAAATGAACAACAGGGCCAGGAGTGGTGGCTCACGCTTGTAATCCTAGCACTTTGGGAGGCCGAGGTGGGTGGATCACTTGAGGCCAGCAGTCCAAGACCAGCCTGGCCAACATGGCGAAACCCCATCTCTACTAAAAATACAAAGCTTAGCGTGGTGGTGAGCACCTGTAATCCAAGCTACTTGGGAGTCTGAGGCAGGAGAATCGCTTGAACCCAGGAGGCAGAGGTTGCAGTGAGCCAAGATTGTGCCACTGCACTCCAGCCTGGGCAACAGAGTAAGACTGTCTCAAAAAAAAAAAAAAAAAGAGAGAAAGAGAGATGAACAATAAAAATTCCTGTATGCTAAAATAAATACTTTGAGTAACTGATTTCTTCTGCCAAAATTCAAATTCAATATAAATGAGGCTAAACTGAGTTGGAGGTGTGCTCTGTTTCTATGCACTTTCCTATGTTGAGGTATGGACAAGCCTACATTTATGACCTTGTACCTGGGGCCTCTAGTGAGAGAAGCCACATGGAAGCTGGTCTTCATGCTGCTTCAGGCACTAGATCTGACCCCTATCAAGAGGGACTACCCTCAACCCCTAATTTTGTAATAAGCAAGAACTGACATTGCTGTTTGGGCAGAATGCAGTGCCATTTTGGTTCCTGGAAGCTTTTTTAGCTTGAGGTCACGTATGAGCTGGCCTCACAGGTGGAGCAGCATTCTGTCTCCCAGAAGAGCAGCATCAGGTACCAGTGGAAATTGTTGTGTCTGACAACAGATGGTTGGGTGCTCAGTGGTCAGGGCAGCTGCCCAGCCACCCCAGCAGATGCCAGACACAGATTAACAGGAGAGAGTAGCTACACTCAAGGGGCACAGACTTGATCTTAAGTATATGTGACAGACCTCACAGAAGCTCCTAGAAATGTATACATAGTAAGGGGGCCCTGGAACCATACCAGAGGGAATTATGAGTCACAGAAATTAAGAAATTAAGGTGAATATGGCCTCATTCATACCCTCAAGCTCCTGACCTGAGGCCTAGGGACAAGGGGGATACAGAAATACCTTATCTAGAAAGGGAAACGAATTAACTGTTGTTACCACTCAGTGCCGCTGGGCTCCTCACAAAGCACAACCGGAAATGAACTGACTAAAACTGGGAATTCATTTTTCTTGCCCAAACGTAGCAAACCAAGGTGGGAACATGGCATAAGGATGGAGGGATGAGGGCAGTAGCAGGGGAAGGTTCCCCTTTCTGAGCCCATTTTGGAAAAAGTGGGCCTTTAAAACCTCAGTACTAGTAATAATAATAGTGGTTGAGACTTTGACTTTAGTAAGATTTGAGACACTCAGAAAAGGCAGTGCTTGTGCCTTTCCTCCCTCCGCAACTGACCGCTCAGGCCCCACCCTCAAGGCTCACTCCCCCTGAAGTTGGAACCTGGCTGTACCTTGGCAGTAGTCCTGGGAAGGGCAAAGAAGTGTTAAAAAGAGTCAGTGAGGCACCCTTAAGATGAATGAGTTCCTATTGCTAGGGGTCAGACCTAGTGCCTGGAGCAGCATGAGGACCAGTTTCCATGTGGCTTCTGTCACTAGAGGCCCCAGGTACAGGTTCACAAATGTAGGCCTGTCCATCCCTCAACATAGGAATAAGGTCTAGAGTAACAGTATAGCCTAACAGTTAAGTTCCTGGCTCATCCAAAAGGCTGCTAGAGCACACAGCTCCAAGTGCCTCTGGAGGGCAACTCCACAGAACATCACGATATGGTCCCCCTAGAATTGTACCACGTGTTTGCTTTGCCTGCCCAGAACTCAAATCATGCTCTATCATGAGAGCTTTGTGGCCCTGGGCAGGTTGCATACCCTTTCTCTGCTCAGTTTCCTTGGCTATAATATAGTGACACTGCTTCCTACAGTTGTTGTTGGGTTGAATGAGTGAACACACGTGTTGCTCTTAGCATAGTGCCTCACAGAGCCAGCACTTAATACATCTTTTTAAATTCCATTTTGTTGTTATTACTTGGTTTTGTCTTTAGGACCCACCGTATAGATAGAACTAGGGGTTTCTTCATCAGTTCAGGGTGCCTTAACAGAGTACCATAGACTGGGTGGCTTATAAACAACATACGTTTATTTCTCACAGTTCTGGAGGCTGGAAGTCTGAGATCAGGATGCCAGCACGGTTGGGTTCTGGTGAGAGCCTTCTTCTCAGTTGCATCAGTGCTCTTTATAAGGGCACTAGTCTCATTTGTGAATGTTGAGTGCTCCACCCTCACAACCTAATCACCTCCCACAGGCCCAGCCTCCAAATATCAACACATAGGGGGTTAGGATATTGAATGAATTTTGGGGGCACACAAACACTCAGTCCATAACAAGGGGTAATGGAAAGAATAAGACAAAGACACAAAGGAAGGAAAGGGAACAGTGAGAGAAAGGCAAGCTTGCAGGATCATAAGAGGAAAACTTATGGGTCCTTAAATTGGCCAAAATGGATGCACTTGCTTTGTGCCCATCAAAATGGGGTCTCCCACTGCTCCCAGCACTGTCTCCTTTATTCTCATCACAATTCAAAGATGCTGATGGCTTTGCGATAGAGATGATACACTGTTGTTCAGGATGAATTTTAAAGTCTAAGAACTCACCTTTGAGTCATAGTTGTTTGACGGAGAAACATTAATTCTCTATCACTTTTCTGTAAACCAACTCTAATTTTAAAAAAGAAGAGTTAAGAACTTCAGCTGTCTACATATGACATACCATGCTTTCTAAGGAGTTGTCCCATAGAATTTACAATACCCTCTTCCTCTTTTCAAGGTTATTACATTTGACATGTGTTAAAGCCAGGAGACTTTGATTTTTTTTTTTTTTTTCTTGAGACAGAGTTTTGCTCTTATCACCCAGGCTGGAGTGCAATGGCGTGATCTGAGTCTCACTGCAACCTCCACCTCCTGGGTTCAAGCAATTCTCCTGCATCAGTCTCCCAACTAGCTGGGATTACAGATGTCCACCACCATGCCCTGCTAACTTTTTGTGTTTTTAGTAGAGATAGAGTTTCACTATATTAGCCAGGATGGTCTTGAACTCCTGACCTCAGGTGATCCACCCACCTCGGCCTCCCAAAATGTTGGGATTACAGGCATAAGCCACTGCACCCAGCCGAGAGTTCGATTTTATAGCATTAGGGTTTTAAAGCAGATAGGTCACTGACCAGTTTTTATTTCCATATATAGTAGGCAAACATACAGGTCTAAAATGATCTAACAGTTCCTTAAAAGTAAGGCTTTGAAGTGTGCATTTAAAAAAGAGACTTACTACTAAGTAGCTCTTTTGCTCTTTAGTGTGGTATGACAAAGATGATGTGTATCATTTGGAGCCTGAATGTGAATCCAGTCTCTCCCTTTTGCTTCATTTCCTCATTTTGGAGACTTGAGTACCTAACACTTAGGACTGTTGCAAGAATTCAAGGAGATAAGTTATATAAAAGGATAGAGTTCAAGTTGGGCATGGTGGCACACGCCTATAATCCGAGCTACTCAGGATACCAGGGTGGGAGGACTGCTTGAGCTCAGGAATTCAAGACCAGCCTGGGCAATGTAATGAGACCTTGTCTCCTAAAGAAAAAAAAAATGGAGGCCAGGCATGGTAGCTCATGCCTGTAATCTCAGCACTTTGGGAGGCCGAGGCAGGTGGATCACCAGGTCAGGAATTCAAGACCAGCCTGGCCGAGATGGTTAAACCCCGTCCCTACTAAAAATACAAGAATTACCCCAGCACGGTGTCAGGTGCCTGTAATCCCAGCTACTCGGGAGGCTGAGACAGGAAATCAC